ATGGATAGAATTGGAGGACATTCTGTTAAGTGAAATGAGTCATACACAGAAAGACAAATGTCACATGTTTTCTCTTAAATGGAGAAACTAAAAATAAAAGACCCTAAGAGTATAAGAGGGACTATTAAGAAATGAGAAAGAGGCAAAAGGGAGAGAGAGAAGATAGAAGAGAGGAGAAAGGATGGTGTCAAGATCAAGACAGGATATAGGTAGGTATGGAACTGTTACAGCAAAACCTGTTAATTTGCACAATTAATATTTGTTAATATTATAAAAATGAAAAATAAAGGTGGTTAACATAAGGACTCTCAAAGAAAAAATAGACAATGAGCAAGAGAAATTTGCAATGTCAGCAGAGAGGTAAGATCTAATGAAAGAATCAAAAGGCAATGCTACAAATCAGAAACACGCTACTGCAAATGAAGGATGTCCAAAATTCATTTTAAGGGAATTTAAAAAAAAAATAGATGATGTTTCAAATGTAATTGTTGTTCATGAGTAAATTTATTGAAGATAATATTTTCAAATAATGTACAGCAATTTTCAAGTAATTTACAAATTTGGGAAGATGGTAAAGATGTAAAGTTATGTTTCTGAGTAATTTTCCCTTCAGTGAAATTAAAATAACAACTGGAAAATGGAGAAGCTAATAGTATTTACTCAAAAAAAAGGTTATTGTAATAAAAGTTATTATTTATCCAGTGCCCATTGTGTCAGGAAATTTTCTAAGGACCTAATATTAACACATGAATGGAATGTTAGGATCTCCTTTTCACAAAAGAGACAGGAAAGGCATAGAAAATTAATGAAGCTGTTGCTGTTTGGCAGCTAATAACAAGCAGAGATCTTCTGAACTTAGGCAATCATGGTCCAGATCCCAAGTTCTTAATCTGTGTGATTTATTACTTCTTGTTATAATTAGGTTCACTTTTGTGGAAGAAGTACATAAATAGTGTACGTGCAGCTCTGATGTACTATTTTCAGCCATGAAATGTCTATGCTCAAAACATAAAATCAACAATACTAAAATGACAGCCCTTGGCAGAAATGTGTTTTCCATCCTAGAAATGGTGCAAAGACTTATTAGATTGACTAAATAGAGTTCAGGAATCTTTCAGCACGTCTCTTCACATACCTGGATTTCCTGAAATGGAGAAGTTCTACACTATATACATTGATGAATAATAACAAAAATGTTGTAGGTTAGCAAAAATATTAAATATGATCCCTGCTAAAACTAATTAGTTATGTAGTAGCACTTTGTGATGTCCTGTTTACCAGCACTGGACCCTGTCTGTGTGTCTAAATGAAGAGATATCTATTAGATTTTGTTGGTGAACTGTGTATAACATGTTTTTGTATGTATTGTGCTTAAAATAAGTAAACTTTAAAAAAGCAATAGTTTTTAAATTTTTGTCTTTGTAATTACTGTAAATACTTATAAATTTCATCCCTCTGTTAATTTTGTCTTATTATTTTTTCAAGTTTATATGTTCCAAGTATGTATTTGGATATTTACTTACATTAAAGCAACATTTACCACCACTGGAAAATAAAAAACAAATGAAGGATGTCTTTGACTGGCTTATAAGTCAACTGGACCTAGCTAACTGAAGAATCAGTGAGCTTGAAGACTTGTCAATCGTATGTTTCTAAACTTGGATACAAAGAAAAAATGGGGTGTAAAATTGGGAAAGACCATTTAAGAGCTAGAATAACTAAAAAAGCTAAGACTGATTCATATTAGGAACATTATAAAGAAAAAAATAGAAAGAAGCATGAGAAAAATTTAAAGACATAATGGAGATGCACTTTTAAAAATTAATGTCAAACACCAAACTCTATATCTAGGAAGCTCAGAGAACATAGAATATGATAAATAAAAAAGTACAAATGTGGGCATATCATACTCAACAATAAGAACACCAACAACAAAGAGTAAACTCTTGAAAGAAGCCAGAGATTTAGGGGACAGATTATATATAAAAGAAAACAATAATAATTAGAGACTTTTCATCAGAAAAACATGAGTGGAACACAGTGTTGAAAGTGTTGTGAAGAAAATAATGACCAAACTCAAATTTTAGAGACTACAAATATCTTCTTCAAAATGAGTGAGAAATACTTTCTCTGACAAACAACATCTAAGAGAACTCATGTCCAGCAGACTTACCCCCCAAGAATTGTTGAAAGAAATTCTTCAGGGTGAAATAAGTAATAAGGGTCCAATAATTCAGATCTATTTGATCTATTTGTAGAAAAGTTTTTTAAAAAAAATATGAAGTAGCTTGCTTTTCCTGTTTTTAATCAAGCTGAAAGATATCTGCTTAAAGGAAAAAAGTAGAGGTCTTTTGGGTGATTTCAGCACAGGGATAAGTGAAATGAAAGACAGTAATGTCATGAGGGATGAAAGAGGAATTTATACCCAATTATCTCATAATTATTTTTTCCCTTTTGTTTGTTGAAGCCATGGTAGAACTATGGCCCACATATTGTACTTGATCCAATACATTAATTGATGTATTTCTCACATGTCAAGAGTTATATTGCTTTTATGTTACTTCCTTACTTGCATCTGTTTTACCTCAGGGTCTCCCACCTTTTGGACTTTGCTGGTAAGATCCATGTGTTGTAACAAAAATCTGACTCCATTTCCTGTGTTTCTTTGAAGTAGTTGTTACATGTTAATCAGGGCTTCTTAAGTTGTTCTGACCTCGGAACATGCTTACATTCTTAGAAATTATTGGAGTGAGAACTCAGGATGTAGCTCAGTCAGTGGTGGAGTACATGTCTAACATGTTCAAAGCCTTGAGTTTGATACCCAGAACTACAAAAAAAAAAAAAAAAAAAAGGAACAAACACTAAAACCTCTGGCCTAGGGATGTAATTCAGTCATTTAAAGCTTGCCTACTATTACATGGCACTGGTTTTAATTCCTACCATCCAAAAACAAACAAAACAAAAACTTTGGGTTGGGAATGCAGTTTAGTCATAGGACACTTTCTTAACCTTGTACAAGGCCCTGGGTTCCATGTTGAACACTGCAAAAAATTATTGAGGACCCCAATTAATTTTTACATTTGAGTTATGGGTATTTATAATATTAGACATTAAAATTTTAAAATAATATTTAATAATTCACAATGATTATTGATAACATGTCATCAAACAACATATGAATAACTGAAGTTTGTTTTCCAGTCTATTTTTCAAGCACCTTACATAAACAGTGTATGCCAATATTAAGATTTATTTACATTAACTACCTGTATTGCTTCATCAAGTTCAAGGGCATTTTAAAGTGATAATGTCTTTTTTCTTGCTACTTTCAAGTGCATGAATTTCAAGGACACAGGTTTATGACACTGGCTCAGTTAATGCTAAAGCCTCAGAACATTTACCCACTATTTCCTTGACTCCCATGATAGCAAGTCTCCACACAGTAAAAAGAACAAATAATATTCAGCAACTTTATGAAAATTAGAATTTCAGAGCAATTCTAAAAGGTTCTTGAAGGCTCTCATGAATGTGTAATCAAAATCCCAGGATGCTACTCTGAGGAATCAAATTGCCAGCTGATTTATAATGAAATGAGAAATTACTTCTCATTTTCCTACACAAAAGTGGCCAGAAGGCAAATCTGTTTAGCTACTGTTCCTTAAGATGCTGGTTAGAACTTGGGCATGGTGGTACCTATAATCCCAGGATTTGAGCTGATGATGCTGGAGGATGGTATAATTTGAAGTCAACAAGAGTTTGAAGCCAATCTGGGCAACACAATGCGACCCTGTCTCAAAAAGCAAAAAACTAAACAAAACAAAATGAAAAGAACCTAGACTGAATGTTGATTTACGTGATTACGTCTTGCTAGAATCTGTTTTCATTCTTTTGTTTTTGGAGATAGGATCTCTGTATGCAGTCCAGGCAGGCCTCTAACTTATGATCTTCATGCCTCAGCCTCCCAACTACTGGGTTTAGATATGTGTGCCAGAAAACTCAGCTATTTTGCTAAAATGTTGAAGCAGAGATTTGGAACCATTACTTCTTCCTTCAGTGTAAATATTTTCCCAATGCTTCTTTCTTTATTTTTTTTAATTCATTCCTTCATTCTTTCTTTCATTCACTTTTGGGATATGAACTGGGTATGTAACCCAGGCTGGCCTCAAACACAAAATCCTCCTGTCTCACACTCCTTAATGCTGAGATTTCAGAACTCTGCCACCATGATGGATTTACATTGATTGATTTGAAAAGGTAAAAAGAAATTCGAAGGTAGACGTAAGTGCTAAGTTTGACCATGTTGATAAAACATACACTGCTGATGTGTATTTTTCATATATATCCAAGGCCATAGTATTTTCAAAACTATGCCACAGCATAGTTTGCAGCACAAGTTTACCATAATTATCTTAAGTTTCTCAGAGCAGTATATCTGAGACCGGGTGGGGAAAGTACAACCTTCACCTGTACCTGGGAGCAGAGATATCATGCTAACAGGAAATAGGCAACAGATGTGGCAATTCCCAATCTTTGCCAGGAAGTGTCTCCTCCTCTTAGTGGGAATCTCTGGGAAACCATGCCAAGTACTGCTCGTGACCCCTAATCTGCATATACATCCAGTTACTCATTTCAGTGTCCCTCCCTCAGAGCTCCTATAAAGGACCAGGCATTCCTGCCCTAAAAACCATCCCAGATCCTCACAAGAAGGTAAGTGTGAGATGAAAGAAGATGAGAGCCGTGGCAGGAGCTTTACCTCACATGGTTAGGTGAAGGTACAGGAGGACACAGGAACTCTGCAAATCAGCAAAGCTCTGAGAGGGAGGACAAAATGTAGATTTCCCAGTTCATTTCAAAACTATAGGAGGAGCTGGATGTGACCAAGATCAATGTGTACCTATGCGACTGAACACAGGAGAAGGAAAGAGGCAATGGAGTTTCTGTAAGTCCTCTCTCTGACCACACTTCCTTCTGTGACTCTGATTATCTCCTCATTCACAGACATGATGCTGACCCTTATGGCCATCCCCCGTGTGTCCTGGATGCTGCTCTCTTGCCTGATGCTTCTATCTCAGGTCCAAGGTCAGATTTCTCTTCCTCTATCCCTGCCTTCTTTGAGTGTTCAGTATGAAGAAAAGGAAGAAGGTTACCATGGGTCCAATTTTGTAATGCTGAGGGGAATCCTGACACAAGTAAATACCCTGCAATACTTCCCTAATTCTGCCTTCCTCTAGATCCATGGTGGTGGTGCCACCACTGTGGCCCATCATCAATGGAATGACATTCTTTCTTATTTTGTCCAGAAGCTCTAATTTATGTTGGTAGGTTGAAGAGGAAAATTGAGAATAGTAACTAATTAAATGTAGGGACAGAGGAGGATTAGAAAATTGAGTTAAAGAACTGTTAGCCCAGAGTCAGGGGCATCATGGACAATTGAGTGAGCTAGAAGTTTAAATGACAAGAAATGCCCAAAGTCAGGCCTCACACAGTTTCCCAAATTGACCTCCTTACCCAATCCCCACTCATTATTTCACCCTATTCCTCAATTTATCTCCCTCTACCCCAGGTGAAGAATCCCAGAAGGAACAGCCCTCTCCACGTATCACCTGTCCCAAAGGCTCCCAGGATGCCTCCCACTACTATGCCTTGTTTAAGACTCCAAAATCCTGGATGGATGCAGATGTGAGTGCTGGGAGTTGGGTTGAGGGTTTGGAGGAAAGTGAATACAAATCTCAACTTTTCTTTGGGATTTATATGAATATCTTTGTCTTTCGCATCATCCTACTTCTGTCATAAATCTGTCCTATCCTTTGAGGTATCAGGCTTCCTCTCATTTTTTTTCTCATTATTCCTCACACAGTTGGCCTGCCAGAAGCGGCCCTCAGGACATCTTGTTTCTGTGCTCAATGGGGCCGAAGCATCCTTCGTGTCCTCTCTGGTCAAAAGTACTGTGAACAGCTACCAATATATCTGGATTGGGCTCCATGACCCCACACTGGTGCGATTCCATTCTCACTTCATTGTTACCCCTTAAGTGGCTGTTGTGTTCCAGCCCTGATTTCTTTGCTTGCACAGGAAGAACCCCAGGAAACATAGACCTCAGATTCTGGGAAACATTTGAGGCAAAGAAAAGTCTTTGAATCCAGCTGAAGTGCTGAGTTCTGTGTAAGTTCCTAGTATTCAGATGAAGTTAATGTACCAGTTTCAAAAGAGTCCATGTTGATCTGGTCTCTGAATTTAGATTATCTGTTCATACAATCTTGAGAAAATCCTAAATGAAAATAAGATTTATATTTTGTCTTTTGGAGGCACAGAGGAAACCATAAATACAGAACCAGTCATGTATAACAAGGAGCATGTTACTTGGAGTGATTCAAATTTCTTCTGAGTATTGACTGGATTATGGAAATAAGAGTGAGGAATTGTGGGATCACATTCAATGAGGCACTGGCAAGGGAGAGGGCAGGTGTTCTAGGTAGGGAACCATGTAAACAGAGTACTAATGTTCATTCCCTTCCCACTGCTGCATCTTATCCTCTGTAGGGTGAAGAACCTAATGGAGGTGGATGGGAGTGGAGTAACACTGATGTGCTGAATTACCTTAACTGGGAAAGAAATCCTTTCACTGCTTCAGACCGTGGCTACTGTGGAAGCCTGTCACGAAACTCAGGTAAAAAACTGAGAAACCACTCTGGCCAGTTTTTCCCACCCCTCCTTGCACATTCTCAGGCCTGCCTTCTTGGCAATTCTTCTGAGTTAGAAAATGGAATGTGGATTAGTCTTTCCAGTCTTTTGTAAAGTCTCCTTTCTTTGGGTCTCCTTTCCCAAAGTAGGACACTTGTGAAGATGAGGGAGCAGGTTTAAGGTCTAGGCCAGAGTCTGAGATACATCTTTGGATTCATGAGATTCCCCTGTCGTATTCACTTTACATCTTCTTTCTGTCTAGGATTTTTGAAGTGGAGAGATTACCACTGTGATGTGCAATTACCCTATGTCTGCAAGTTCAAGAACTAGGCAGATGGGAAGTCAGCAGCCTACATATATCAAGAAGTTCACCACTGACAGGTGACCAAGTGTGGACTCACCCAGGAGGGAATGTTCTGTCCACACTCCCAAACATGATTCCTTATTCTGATCTTCCCTCTTCTTCCTTTCTTTCTACTCTTCTTTCAGTCCCTCTGTTTTATTGTGGCCTATGGTCTCAGAGAAGAATATTAAAAATCTTAGCTTATACTTTTTGTCTTTTGTGTTCTATTTTTAGCAGTTAATTCTTCTTATTATTTTTTCCTAGTTACAAAAATCACACATGCTAATTACAAAAATTTCTCATATTACAGAAATATCTGACATAGTGCTGGGATGTAGCTCAGTGGCAGAATGCTTGTGTAGCATGTGTGAGGCACTGGGCTTAATGCACAGGACTACAAGAAACAAACAACAAATCTGGCACAGAATAGTAGAACTAACATTCAACAATTATTAAAACTGTGTAAAGGAGAGCAAAATGATTGGAAAAAGAAGTTCATGCTTCCCTCTTGCGAGTTCCACCCTGGCCTAAAGAAAATTCCTACCAATGCGCCATGCTCATGGAGAGAACAGATGAAGACATTGTCCTGCCACACACACAAAGGCCACACATGCCCCTCATAGTGTAATACAGCCAGCCTTAGGGAAGTCTGACGTTACTTCAACACTGCTTCTGAAATTATTTTCTGTGAAAAGTCATTTTTTTCTTTAAATTGCAATCCACCTTGGACTTTGACTATTTTACAATAGTCATAAATTCATTATTTAGATTTTCAGTTACACTGCTGACATAGAGTCTTAGGCATTGTTACTTCCTTTTGAAGATAATTTAAGCCAACAATTTTTCTTTGGGTTAATCAGAGCATTGAGGTAACAGGGCAAATTCTTTCTCTGATATATCTACTAGGAATAACCATAGACAGCCATTTAATTTCTGCTTGCCTGGTACAGAAACACGATGAGTTACAAACTGTTGTGTATATTTAAATGGTAATTTTTGAAATTGGTGAATGCTGAGTGTGGATTTGCATTCAGAGTGAGAAATTTCTGAAGACTGCAGTCCTAGGAAGGATCTAGCACTTTCATGGGTTTTGCCTCCTAGGGTCTACCAGGTTCTCCTGATGAAGGATCAAAAATAATCCCCTCATGACTCTGACAGAGAGAGGAAAAGAGAAATCAGTTTAAATAAGACTAGAATATAATCAATAACATAGGCCTAATTCCAGGTAAAAACACCTTGTGTGATGCTAATCCTGCCTTGCATAAAGAATTTACCCAACTCCAACTTCCTCTGCCCTTCCTGTTTTACCTAAAGTGGAGATAGCTAAGAAATCCTTTTGAAGGTCATGGCCCTGAAATACAGGCCCACAAATACTAAGATTTTATCGTGAGATTATATAATACTTCTTGTGGTGACTAGCAAGTAACATGAATCAAGCATAATAATATCAAATAACTACAAGAGTTGAAAGGTACAGAATGTATTGAAGGAGGAGCTTTTAGGAAATTCCAAAGACAGTATGAATAGCAAAAACAAAGTCATTGGAGAAATTTCAAGCTTATGTTCCCACAGTTATAGAAATAGTAAACCCAAACTAAGACTGAGGAAGATGAACATAAACGACAGAGAAAGCCCTTTGTCTTCAGTTACTTTCACACAATACATTATACACAGCAACGAGTAGAAACTTCAAAACTTGCCTAAAAACAGTAACAGCTACAAAAACATAGTTAACCCAGAGCAAGCATCAGGACTAGACTCAGATATAGCACACATTGTGGAGTAGTAAGTAATATAGGGAATTTAAACTGGTTATGCTTATTATTATAAGGATGCTGATAGAAAAAATTAGATAATAGGCAATGGACAAGAAAAAGTGCAATGTCAGCAGAGAGATAAAACCATGAAAGTATCAAAGGACAAATCAAAACCTCTGTAATAGAAATGAGGAGTGTCTTTGTTTGTCTCTTAAGTTAACAGGTCATGGCCAAATGAAAAAACAGTGAGCTTGAAGATTTGTCAATAGTAACTTCCTATATGTAAATGCAGAGGAAGGTGAATGAAAAAAATGGAACCAAATATTCTACGACTGTGGACTAATTATTAGTGATAAAACTTATGCATAATATGAATATTAGAAGGAGAAGAAGAATAAAGTCATACAAGAATAAAATTTAAGAAATAGTTGGTATTTATTTTCCAACTTTATTTTCATAAATTAATGGCAATTTATGTACTGCATTCCAGAGGCTCAGATAACACCATACCATATTCAAACTGCAGAATAGCAAGGGGGACAGAATATATCAAAAGTAGCCAGAAATTTAGGGAATATCTTACCTATAGGGAACAAGGATAATCATTAGACCAGAATTTTCATCATCAAACATGAGTGGAAATTAACTATTTAATGAGATGAAAGGGAAAAAATGATGGAACTACAATTTTAGAGACCACAAAATTATTCTTTAAAAGTGAAGGACAAATAAAGACTTTCCTGACAAACAACATCTGAAAGAATTCATTTCAAGAAAGTTAAAGGAAGTTCCTATAGGTGAAGAGCAATGATGAAGGTCCATTAACTCACATCTATTAAAGAAAATTTTTTAAATGTCATGAAACAGTCTAAATGAGATTACTTTTTCTATTTTTAATTAAATTAAAAGATAATTTTTGCTTAAAGAAAAATACTAACAGTCTTTTGTGTGATTATAGCATATGAATAAGTGAAATGAATGATAGTACTGCCATAATGGTTGAAAGAGATGAACTTACAACCAATTATCTCATAGTTATCTTTCACTTTCATTTCCTGAAATCAAGGTTGAACCATGGTCTACACATTACATTTGATACAATTATTTCTTACAAAGTAAGAGCACTCTATTACTTTATTTTCATATATTCCTTTCCTGGAGGAAACAGAGCATATCACATCAGACTTTTTTCCAAATTCTAAAATTTTCTGATTGCATTCATGTGTTGTAGCATAAAGTCTAACTTCATCTGTGGTATTCCCTAGAAGTAGGTGCTGTGTTAATTAAGAGTTTTCATGCAATTCTCATTTTAGGGTACTCTCGCATTTTTAAAATTTCTAGAAATCATAAATCATTTTTTATCTTGTGAATTATTGATGTTTACATTACTAGACATTCAAGCAGCTATTTAAAAATATTTGTTTACTAATTAATGTTGATTATTTTTAAAAACACATCAACAAAATGCCCATACATTTATAACTAAGTTTGTTGGTTAGCCTGTTTTACCAGAGAAAATGCATATTACATGAAAACAGAATTAACCAATAGTGTTTCTGCTAATTTTTAATCAAGACTATCACTTCACATCAGAATGAAAACTTCCATTTAGTCATTAGACTACTAAAACAATGTACTCAATTATTGAAATTTACTTACATTAACCACCTTCACTGCTTCATCACATTCAAGGGCATTTTAAAATAATAATATCTTTTCTGTTACTTGCAAGTGCATGTATTTGAAGGACACAGTTTGATGATACTGGTTTAATTAATGTTAAAGCACCAGATAATTTACCCATCCATCCTTTGGCCCCATCAGAGAAAAGGCTTAAATAGTAAAAAAAGGCAAATGATATTTAGTAACATAATAAAATTAAAATTTCAGAGCTATTCTGAAAGAGTTATGAAACCCCTATTATATGTAATCAAAATCTAAGGATGCTATCTTGAGGTATTGAATTGCCAAGTTTGAATGACAAAAATTGAGGAACTAAATATTTCTCAATCTTCTTGTACAGAGATGGCTGAAGGTAAGTCTGTTCATTGGTTCTTCGTTGGGTTATAATGCATATACACATAGAAATGTCATTATGAAGCTCCCTGTATATCTAACTTAAACAAACAAAAATGTCTTTTTTCAAAAACAGAGGACAGGAAAATAAAACAGGTTCTGTCTGGGGTTAGTACCAGTGGGAGGTATGAGGCTATAAGGGTATAGTAAGTTGAATATGATGGATATATTACGTACTCATGTATGAAAATGGAAAAATGAGAACTGTTGAAACTATTCTAAGAAAGTGGAGTTGGGGAGATAAAGGTGAATGATGGGGGAGTGTGAATTTAACTAAGATACATTGTAAACACTTTGGTAAATGTCACAATGTACTCCCACTACAATAATAATAGGATAATAAAACAATAAAAATTTTAAAAGACTATGAAAGATTCTGTCTGGAATACTGAACCACAACCAGACTATATCTTGCTATAAAGTTGAAGCTGCAAGTATGAACCATTACCTTTTGCCTTTGTGTAAATACTTTCTTTGCCATTAATTAATATATACATCTAATTCTTAAATAATCTAATGTTTACTAATTAATGTAATTAAAATCTTATAAACAGATATGAAGAACAGGGTATGTATGCCTACAAGAATAAATTCTGTATTGATCAAAAGTACACTGCTGATAGTTATTTTCCTTAACTATCCAAGATAATAATGTTTTCAAATATAACATATAGCAGTATAATTTGTAGAACAGGTTTACCATATTATCTTAAGTTTCTCAAAACAAGATATCTATGATAAAATGAGGAAAGTTCAAACTTCAGCTGTACCTGGGGACAGAGCTAGTCAGCTAATGGCAAAGAAGCAAGAAATGTGGTTATTCTCAGACTTTAGTGGTAATATCTTAATATACATGCCAGGCACTATCAGTAACCTGCATATACATCCCAGTTATTCATTTTGAGTCCCTTCTATCAGATCTACTCATAAAATTCCCAGTCTTTCCTGACCTAACTAACCATCCTTAATCCTTGCAAGACAAGAATATGGGAGCTATGTCAAGATGAGAGCTTGGCAGGGGCTTTACCTCACATAATGAGAAGATGTAGAAGTGCCTCTATCTTCACAGAACAGAGGAGCTCTGAGAATCAGTACATTCTGCCCTGGGAAATCTTAGAGTAAGTAGAAAATATAGATTTCCTCATTCATTCAAG